GAGTAGAATGAGAAGCAGACGAGTAAGCAGGGCAACCATAATCGAGCTTAGACAGGACGAGAGAGGAATGTAAAGCAAGGAGTGCGCGCCTATCCACTCCCCAAGAAGTATGGGACAATACCCGAAGGAGGGTAAGGGCCTTAGAGCGCTCACCACGGAGGTAAGAGATGGTGAGACCGAAACAAGCAAGTGTCAAGGAATAACCCAAAAAGCTTCGCGGAATCTTTGTACTCAAGGGGATGACCATAAAGTGACAAAGAGGGACGAAGACCAACCTGTTTCCGAGTAAAAGTCATGGCACAAGTATTAGTAGTAGAGAACTTGAAGCCATGATCGGTGGCCCAAGACGACACGGCATCAATCGCAAGTTGAAGCCGGCGTTGAAGGAGAGGCGAATCATCACCCTGACAGCAAAGGGTAAGTTCATCGACATAGAGAGCGGAGAAGACACCTGAAGGAAGAGAGGAAAGAAGACCATTGAGGGCAACCAGAAAAAGAGTAGTGCTCAAAACACTACCCTGGGGCACACCTTCGTATTGCTGAAAAGAGGCAGAGGGAGTGGTACCAAGGTGCACCCGAACGGAACGACGAGAGAGGAAGCTGCTGAGAAAGAGAGGGAGGTGACCACGAAGGCCAAAAGAATGAAGCTGGGATAGAATATGATATCGCCAAGTGGTGTCGTAAGCCTTTTCCAGGTCAAAAAGGATGGCAACAACAGAGGTCTTCACAGCAAAAGCAGTACGAATATAGAAGTTCACCAGGACATTGTCGTGCTGCGGCACTTGCGGAAACCAAATTGAGAAGGGGAGAGGAGGTGATGGTGTTCCAGGAACCACATCAGACGAACATTAACCATACGTTCAAAGAGTTTGCAGACATAACTTGCGAGGGCAATAGGGTGAAAGTCCTTAGGAGATGTTCCCAGAGACCCTGGTTTGCGAACAGGGAGGACAACGGCATCGAGCCAGTCCTCAGGGACTGACGATGACTCCCAGACCTGATTATACAGACTCAGTAAATACTGAGACGTGCACGGAGGGAGATGGCGAAGCATCTCATAATGAATACCATCGGAGCCCGCCGCCGTAGGACTGCAGAGGGCCAGGGCAGAACGAAGTTCAGAGAGAGAAGGGATCGTTATAGGGAAGTCGAAGACGAGTGCAGAAATCTAAAGGACGAGACTCAAGGACAGGTTTATGAAGAAGGAAAGATTGGGGAAGATGAAGACCAGAGCTAACAGAAGAAAAGTGGGAACCCAGTTTGGAAGCGACCTGCAACGGGTCCACCACAAGAGTACCATGGAGGTGAAGGACCGGTGAATCATCGGGAACGAACTTACCCGCTATCTTGCGGATACGCTTCCAGATCTGTGGCAGAGATGTTTCGGACGTAATGGTGGAGACATAAGATGCCCAACATTCACGTTTAGCCGTACGGATGACCCTACGGGCCACCGCACTTGCCTTCCGAAAGAAAAGATAAGAATCGGCCGTCTGCCGACGGCGGTGTCTCTTCCAGGCTGCACACTTACAGCTGACAGCCCGAGCACAGTCTGCATTCCACCAGGGAACGCACTTCTGTGGACCCCGAGAGGAAGAGCGAGGAATAGAGCGGAGGACAGTGTCATGAAAAAGGAGAGAGCGAGGGAGAGGTCAGAGAGAGCAGCGCTGAGGGTAAAGAGGTCCCAGTCCGCTTTCGCAAACTGCCACCTAGGGAAGGAGAGGGGAGGGCGAAAAGAGAAAAAGGTAACAAGGATAGGGAAATGGTCACTGCCATGGAGGTCAAGAACCTGCCACGTGCAATCTAAGTAAAGAGAAGAAGAGCAAAGAGAAAGATCAAGACAGGAAAAGGTGCGAGTCCGAGAGTCCAAATGTGTGGGCTCGACAGGGAAGAAGAGAGGATAAACGGCTCAAGAAGACGACCCCAGGTGTTCGTCAGAACATCACCCAAAAGGGAATGACGACAATTGAAATCACCCAGCAGGAGCACAGGCTCCGGCAAGGAGTCCAGTAAGTGTTTCAGATCAGGAAGAGAAAGCGGAACACTCGGGGGGAGATAAATGGAACGAGGTGCTGTGAAAGCTTGCACTCTGGCTGTGGTCTGTCAACACACGATGTAAGATATCAAGGTATGTAACACATGACTACTGTCTTCTTTGTGGATGCTTCATTGTCACATGTTTATCATTATTTACAAGTGTGTGTTGAATAACTTGATAAATTACATAATTCACCTAATGTATGATAATGTTTCAATTGATGATTGGTTTATGTGGTATACTTCGTTACAACTGTATAGAGAAATGTACATGACATAATATACAATGGTGTTGAACCATGACATACGGCCCAGAGTATAGATTGAAACAAAGGCACAAGCCACCAATGTTACTCACAGATGACAGCTGGTGCCTAGTACATGTAATGCATGATAATGATTCAATTGATGATTGTTTTACCTGGCATATCTCATTACAACCATACAGAGTTGTGAAAACCTATGAACATATACATACAGAATGTAATTATGATGGAAGTTTATACGACGACGACGATCTCATTCACGATGATAACCACATTCATCTAGTAACAGAACAATAAAATGATAGAAGGAATGTTTCATGGGTCAAGGTAAACTCCATTACATCCACAGAGAGCTATTGTATCCTCATATGCATCATACATGTAGAGACCAGACAATAATTGTTTGTCATATAGTGATATCCACATTACCCATGACTCAACATATGGCAATAACCTCAATGTAAGGGTTAAAGACTGCCATATAAAAAGTGGTGTCTAATGCACTGGCCTGAGAAACCCCTTCATACTGAGGATAAGAGGGAGTGTGGAGTGCAGCCCAGGGCATACTTTAAGGGGCCAGATTTTTGTTTTGTTTTTTAAACTATATATTTTATTGTTATTAGCATAGCTTATTAGGTACATTTTGATCTTTATTTCATCGGCCAAAACAAAAACCCACCAGTCCCAAGAGCGATGAAGTGGAGAAACCAGTATAATGCTCAGAGCCAAACTCTGCCCCGAAAAAGGCAATGCAGGCAAATTTAAGGCTTCCACACAAGTGCTTGACCAACCAATGAATCACCTGGGGTCAATCCAACACCAGTTGGTAAGGAAGCTGCAGGGAAAGAAGCTGACAAAATCTTCAAAGTGAGGCCAAGTTTAAACCCTGATGTGGATCCATCTGGGACTTCTGCTAGTTCACTAGGACCTTGAACCTGGCAAACTGGTAAAGAACCACACACGTGGACTTACTAGAACTCAAACCGGCAGGTTGTTGAGGTAGTAGATCAACACGTGTTGCCATCTACAACTCCTAGATGTAGATGGCCCATACTTACCCGTGCCAATCTGGTAAGCTTGATGCCCCACGAAACCTAACCCATCCCTGAACCTTAGATGAATAGGTGTGTAACAATATTCTATTCATCCTTAACACTTTCGCTGGCCCGGCGAGGCACCAAAATTGCATCAGAAGGTAGGCCGAGCATTCCCGGTGAGCACGCAACCCAATGTTAAACTCATTCATCCACAATGTTTATACTGAAGAACATTGGGATCGTCTCAAAGCCCTCCAAATGTACTCACTAGAAAGAAGACGAGAGATATCAAATAATATACACCTGGAAGATACTGGAGGGCCAAGTACCAAATCTACACAGTAAAATAACAACGTACTGGAGTGAACGACATGGAAGAAAATGTAGAATAGAACCAGTGAAGAGTAGAGGTGCCATAGGCACAATCAGAGAACACTGTATAAATATCAGAGGTCCGCGGTTGTTCAACGTCCTCCCAGCAAGCATAAGAAATATTGCTGGAACAACCGTGGACATTTTCAAGAGGAAACTAGATTTATTCCTCCAAGGAGTGCCGGACCAACCGGGCTGTGGTGGGTATGTGGGCCTGCGGACCGCTCCAAGCAACAGCCTAGTGGACCAAACTCTCACAAGTCGAGCCTGGCCTCGGGCCGGGTTTGGGGAGTAGAAGAACTCCCAGAACCCCATCAACCAGGTATCAACCAGGTGCAAGGAGCTTATGCTATGCATTTTTAATTGCAGAATTGCTTTTAAATACATGAATGGAGAAATACTATAGAAACTGTTCACAACTTTTGTTAGATCAAAGCTGGAATATGCTGCGGTTGTATGGTGCCCACATCTTAAAAAGCACATCAACAAACTGGAAAAGGTGCAAAGACATGCCACTAAGTGGCTCAAAGAACTAAAGGACAAGAGCAACGAGGAGAGGTTAGAGGCATTAAATATGCCAAAACTAGAAGATAGAAGCAAGAGGGGATGTGATCACTACATACAAAATAGTAACAGGGATTGATAAAATTGATAGGGAAAATTTTTTGAGACCTGGAACTTCAAGAACAAGAGGTCATAGATTTACCCTAACGAAACAAAGCTACCGGAGACATATAAGAAAATTCACTTTTGTAAACAGTGGTAGACGGTTGGAACAAGTTAGGTGAGAAGGTGGTGGAGGCCAAGACCGTCGGTAATTTCATAGCGATATATGACAAGAGTGCTGGGAAGACGGGACACCACGAGCATAGCTCTCATCCTGTAACTACATTTAGGTAATTATGTGTCCTTATACCTGTGAACTGAATGCTCCAAGGCCCTTACCTTATTTAGTCTTGTCACATACCCCCGGGGGTGCTAACAGGTATATATTTTCATCAATTACACTTCTCTCTAATACATAGTCTAAACGTAACTATGGTTGTGCTGCACACTTACCAACTTTACCCTCGGCATCATCCTGGCAGCCATCTCGGCTCCCAGGCTTTTCCTCTTTCCCTAATACGGTATGAAAATTCCTTACTTAGATTTCTAGTCACTCGATAAAACCCACAACCATTAGACATGTAAATGGCGACAGAATTTTAGTGTAATTTGCAGCAGCAACAGAGCACTATTGTAAATTGTTCATATCCTTAAAATGGTATTCAGTATTAACAAGATAAACAAATATTAATACCTTTATTTCAAACAAAAGTAAGTTTTTTCAGGAAAATAAATGATGTGACTAACGTGCGCAGGCAACCCAATACTTCCAAACATTGTTATCTTTTTTTTCTAAAGGAACATAATTTTTTAATTTTAAGTCTTGATCTCACATGACAGTTACACAACCAGGCGGTAAGAAATATATCGTCCTGCCGTCTCAGATGGCCGGATAATTTTGACAACCTGGCCACGTTTCAATCCAAAATAACGAGCCACTGGGTCACCAGCCTGAATTCTCATTAATTGATTGTCTTTCAACTTGTACCTGTAAAAAAAATGGCAGACTTAATAAAACTATTATGGCTACATTTACAATATCTGTATTAAAGTCTCAGGAAATAACATTGTTCTAAATACCAGTTTTAACCTTTCAACTGCCCAACACAACCTGGGATGTTCTCGCCCATCATTCATAAACTGTGCAACAGTCAGGGATGCTTTAATGTGTTGCAAAACTCCCTCAGGTATCACATGTGCTTCCTCAGGCCACCAGTAAACAGATGCCATCATGGGCACCCCTTCCTGGGCATGAGGGCTTCAATAATGAGAGCATGACCATGTGCAGCAGCAACTCATGCCCACACCATCACTTAACCCCTTAACTGCGTTGCCTCCAAATATGCCACCCCCGCAGTGCGCAGGAAATAAATTCTCTGGAAAAAATTCTTTTTTCTTTTTAAAGTGTCAGAAACCCTTCCCCTCAGTATAGGTATGTAAAAAAAAAAAAATCGAAATTGTACTTACTTTGGCTGCTATGGGGTCCGTAAGTTGTGGCGTGACGTCATCATTCCCTGTTCGCCCATGACATACGCTCCCAGGGCCAGTAGGGCGCTCGTGGCGGGGGGCGCGAGTTGCCGCGAATATATTTTCGTTCATTTTTTTCGCACAGTTCCATATACATTTTATTTGTTTTTACGTGCTAATCCTATGTATAGTGAACATGTACACTATATTATGGCAGTAAAACATCCGTACTATCCGAAGACACTGTGTTACGTGCATGACACTTGTGTACACATGTGCTGCACATATTTACTATGTATCATGCTAATTTATGTATATATACAATCTATTTACACACTATACACTGTCACACACTATATACATTCACCATCAACACACTTCGAACACCTCGAGTGAGAGCAGCCACACCCAGCCAGTCTCCCTCACTCCAACATCTTACTCGCCAACATTACTCCTCCCACCATACTGTTATAGTTCTTATTACACATGTTCTATATACCTATCTACATGTTTTATTTACCAGAACTATGCAAGTAAGCCGGTATTGTGTCCAAACAGTACAGTGGCCCCCATACACTGAATGAAAAATGAATGTGATAATGACAGCACAGCCGACACACAGCCGACAGCAGACGACGCTACGATTACGTCACCTCCCTCACCAAAATAGCTCCTCTCAACATTCTCCTGTTGCTGTTCTTACATTATATACACACATTATATATACCCATGTACATATGTGTTGCCCATAGCGAACCACTAAGCTAGTATGGTGAGCAAAACAAGAGTGGTAGCCACACACACAATGAGGCTACCTCAATTCTCGCCCTCCCTTCCTCACCAAAATTCCTCCTTCCACAATACTACGCACAATGCTAATTATAACCACAATCCTGCTATTATCACAATCCTGGTCACTAATTCCTGTAAATGAATAATTGACCACACGTTTATTTTGAAAAGGAGCCTAGGAAATTATTTGAAGATTCCTAGATGGACGAAATAATGCTGTGGTGCTGTGGCTAGCGCTGTGAACATCGTGAACAGCATTGAATCACTGATATTTGAACATTGTACCCAGTCATTATCACACTCGGGCTCTTCTATAACACTATCATGGCTAAGTAATGCAAGTTATATATATATATATTGACATTATTAGGCGATGCTGTGGTCACACGCTGAGCAGCTGTGCTGTGCGCTCATGCTGCAAGCCCCAGCCTTGGTTGCTCACACACTACTGAAGCTCCCACACCCGGGAATGTGGGCCACGATTTTTTTTAAAGATGGCGTCTGTTTACAGGAGCCCTGAGGAAGCTGATGTGAACCCCATGTAGCCGCGGGAGTTTTGAATGGAACGTGAAAAATACAAATACCCGGAGGCGCGTTGCGCAAACCAGACATGTGCCTGCAGGCGCGTTGCGCAGTTTAAGGGTTAATAATGATGAAATAAATAACTGATTATTTAATGATAGTTTTATAGAAGATGGTGATAGTGATAAGGACTTCGTATAAGGTTGAGATGTAGGTGAACACAATACTGGTTATGATGTTCACAGTACAAGGGAGACATCCACACACCTGCATCTCAACTTCTAATGAACTTGTGAAAAATTATTCATATTAATGATTTAGTGATCATGATTTTGATAATAGATGGGGTGGGCTAGAGTTAGCAATGTGCATAATATATTGGGAGGTATTTTGCTTCGTTATGTGGCTTTGGCCACTGAGTAGCGTGTGGCTCTATGCTACGCTTGGATTACGAAATTACAACACCCATAAAAACTGTTTTAGCAGGCGAAGAGTCACAATAATGTGGCTGAAGAATGTTGACCAGACCACACACTAGGTGAAAGGACGGTAACATTTCGGTCCGTCCTGGACCATTCTCAGGTCAATTGTGTCGAACCGTTTCAAGTCGAACTATTTTAGCAGTTCGTAATGATTCATAAAAATGTAGATAGTTATATATAATGTGTGTGTCTACATAGTAAAAACAGTATGTTCTATTGTTCTAAGAATATAATACGGTGCAGGAATCTTCCAATACATAACTTTTTCAATTGACATACTATTGAATAATACTACTACAAAAAAAAGTGAAAAAAAATCAGTAACAATGAATTCAATCAGTAGCAATATCTTAGTGCCAACTCCCACCACATGCCTGGCCATCAAGGCAACTGCTCCACGAATGCTCTTAAACTATGACATCACATGATTCCTTATTCCACTACAGCCATAGTAAATTAAAAAAAAAAAATCCCATGGTCAGGAACATTAAAAGTAATTTTTTTTTTGGTCCCTTGCACATGAGTGGTTGTCATGGAAATTCGGGCGAACAGTGCAGGGGTTAATGTTACTGTACTGTATGGCAATCATCATAGGAGGTAAAATATTTTAGCTTATAAAACAAGGCATCTTGATTTATAAACTATATATTTCATAACATATTATATAAAATATAAACCAGCATTGAATACAATGAAATGCCTCTTGGATGAGCCCCAGTGGCTCCCTGAAACTATCTTGCCAAGATGGCTCCCAACTACTGTACTAAGTCACATCACCTGCAAAGTTCTGCTTGGCATACTGGGGGACCAGACATAGAACATGCCCTCTTCCCCTCACAGAAGCTCAACAAGTTAGTGACACTCCACCAGCAAGGTATTCAGAAAGTCTACGAACTGATACAGAATACAGACTGCTGCTAGGTTTAACCCTTAAAGTGCGCATCACGTCACATGACGTGTTGGAGTACTATGCAAGATTTAAATGGCCCGCGGATACATGGTGTTTACCACCCCTTCATCAGGGCTCTTGTAAACAGACGCCATTTTTTTAAAAAATCGTGGGCCAAACTCCTGGGTGTTATTGGCCTCGGTATTGAGTGAGCAACCAAGCCTGATGCACGCAGCATGAGCTAACAGCACTGCTGTTCAGCTTGTGACCACAGCATCGCCTAAAAATGCCAAAATATACTTGTTCATGCTATTATGTAGCGATGATATTATTGCAGAAGACCCCTGACTGATAAAACTGACCAGGGTTCTGATAATAGCAGGATTGTGGTGATATTTAGTGCTGTGCACCATGGAGGGAGGAGTAATGCTGTGGGAGGGAGGGTGGTGGCGATGTCTTCTGACTGTGTGTGGCCACCTTTTATTGACTGCACTCACCATAACAGCTTAGTGGTTCGCTATGGTGAACACAAATGTAGATACTTATATATAACGTGTGTATACAGGGTCTAAACAGCAAGAGAAGGTTGGGAGCCGCCATTTTGGTGAGGGCGGTGGCACGACGCCACCGTGCAGACGAAGGTGTTGTTTACTGATTACCACGATGGTCTTTGGGCACCATACCAGTTTACTTGTACAAGTATGGTGAATAAAACAGGTAGATATTTATATATAATGTGTGTGTATAGCGTAATAACACCACACAGTATTGTTGGAGGAGAAATATTAGTGCGTCTGGCCTTGAGGGTGGGAGCCATCAGCTGACTGTGTGAGGTCCTACATCTGTGCCTTTACTCACCATACAAGCTTAGATGTACAGTTATGGTGAACAAAACATGTAAATACCAATATATAACATCTGTATATAAAAACAAAAACAGTATGGTGGGTGGAGAATGGTGGCAAGTCAGGTGAGGTGAGGGAGGGAGTGGCAGCCAGTGGCGGGCTGGCATTGCCACTCAGCATATCAACTTAAGTGGTTCGTTATTGTGAACTCGAATGTAGATACTCATATATATAACGTCTGTATATAGTGAATTATAGCAAAAACATTATTGTGGGAGGAGAATGTGGGTGAGTCAGATGACTGGAGGGAGGGCGGGAGTGGCTGGCTGGTACACGGCGGTCACTCCTCGTTACTTTTTGACTCATAATAGCTACTTAGTGGTTCGTTATAGTGAACAAAACATGCAGATACTTATATATAACCTGTGCTTATAGTGTAATAACCGACAAAGTATTTGTTCACTGATTGATGAACATAATTGAATCAACAATATGCACACCATATATTTGAGTACAGCAATGATTCACTCATTTTATTATATAAATATATCAAACTACACACTATTGAATAATATTACAGCAAAAAAACTATGAAAAATCAATCAGAGACATTGAAATAATTCGGTAATTATCTCTTTGTGGCAACTCCGGCCTGACAGCTGGCGAGCAACAGACCGCCTGGGACGCACTCTGAGTCAGCGCCTGTTTTTGCCAGACTTCCCCGCCCTATAGCGGGCAATATATGCCACTTACGATTTTTTTATTATTTTTCCCATGATCAGTGAACACAAATTAACAGGTTAGAAAGAAAAAATAATTTTTTTTTTTCAAAATTACATGTGCCTGTGGGGAAGAAAGGATATTATACCCCTAGCATGTTAAGGGATAAAGAGACAGAAGCCTCAAAACTGTCAAATGAACTCTCTCAGAGGAAAGACTCCAAGCATTCAAGATGACGAAAGACAACTGGTCGAGACTGACGACCCAAGGCAACTCGGGCATAATTCAGCCTAGGAACACTAAATAATGTATTAGGATGCCAAAACTCCTATGCCTGAATATCAGCCCCATGAATTGTTAGCAAAGACCGCTGAAAGAGCAGCATATTTACAAACTTCATGAACATGATGGTAAACCGCAGGATGGCTTCACCTAATACTGCAGACCACCTGGGAAACGAGCCTTTGAACAGGGATCAAAGAGTGATTAATCCACTAAGTGTCCACCAAGGCAGAATCAGTGACACAAAGGTAACAGTGAAGAGCAGCCGCCAGACACAGCACGTGATGCACCTCCGGCTCAACCACCCAAAGGACTCCTCTGAAAGCCCACCGACTCATTCTTTGGTAGAAAACGGCACGACGGCAAACAAACATAACGCCCACCCGGGCCAAAAAAATAAAAGTCCCCCCACCTTCAAAAAAGCACGCAGCACCCTTACCCTACAACTGGAGGCAATCACCAAGAGAAAACTGCCTTAAACCACAGACCAAAAGAAAAGGTAAGAACATGGTCAGAAGACCAGGAAGGTTTAGGTGGCACATGAGCAGGTCTGTAGTGAAATAATACAAGAGTGAGTTTCTGAAATGGCACCAAGGGAGCCGGTCGGCCGAGCGAACAGCACGCGGGACTTGTGATCCTGTGGTCCTGGGTTCGACCCCAGGCGCCGGCAAGAAACAATGGGCAGAGTTTCTTTCACCCTATGCCCCTGTTACCTAGCAGTAAAATAGGTACCTTGGTGTTAGTCAGCTGTCACGGGCTGCTTCCTGGGGGGTGGAGGCCTGGTAGAGGACCGAGCCGCGGGGACACTAAAAGCCCAGAAATCATCTCAAGATAACCTCAAGAAGGTAATATCAACACCAAACACAAACAGTAGCACTTCCACCAGCTCCACATAATAAGAGGTGACATTATTAGGCATAAAATGCTCGTCAAGAGAGAAATGAATGGATACCCCAAATAAAGATGGAAGAATGATGACAAGGGGACAGGAAATGGTGAAAAAAAAACACAAAGCTACAGTACTTCGTACTGCCGCCGACAAGACCAACGCGGGTGGAACACTATCAATTCAGTCACCTGCTCACTACAGAGATGGCGATATAGATGCCTTGGAAAGCGCGCGTGCGCGCACACACACACACACACACTGAGGACTGTTTGAGGCTTCAAGAAGACCTAGACAAGCTGAAGGAATGGTCGAACAAATGGTTGTTAGAGTTTAACCCAACCAAATGTAATGTAATGAAGATAGGTGTAGGGAGCAGGAGGCCAGATACAAGGTATCATCTGGGAGAGGAAATTCTTCAGGAGTCAGAGAAGGAAAAAGACTTGGGGTTTGATATCACGCCAGACCTGTCTCCTGCAGCACATATCAAGCGGATAACATCAGCGGCATATGCCAGGCTGGCCAACATACGAACGGCATTCAGAAACTTGTGTAAAGAATTATTCAGAACTTTGTATACCACATATGTCAGGCCAATCCTGGAGTATGCAGCCCCAGCATGGAGTCCATATCTAGTCAAGGATAAGACTAAACTGGAAAAGGTTCAAAGGTTTGCCACCAGACTAGTACCCGAGCTGAGACTACGGGAATTAAACCTCACTTCGTTGGAAGACAGAAGAGTAAGGGGGGACATGATCACCACATTCAAGATTCTGAAGGGGATTGATAGGGTAGATAAAGACAGTCTATTTAACACAAGGGGACACAGGTGAAAACTGAGTGCCCAAATGAGCCACAGAGATATTAGAAAGAACTTTTTTAGTGTCAGAGTGGTTGACAAATGGAATGCATTAGGAAGTGATGTGGTGGAGGCTGACTCCATACACAGTTTCAACTGTAGATATGATAGAGCCCAATAGGCTCAGGAATCTGTACACCTGTTGATTGACGGTTGAGAGGCAGGACCAAAGAGCCAGAGCTCAACCCCCGCAAGCACAACTAGGTGAGTACACACATACACACACACACAGCCAAGAAGTTCAAAGCAGCTAGGTACGTCACTAGACCAATCATCTGAAAAGAGGTGAGAAAAATGGCTGGGTTTGGACACATTGCAAGCCAGCACCTGAAACCAAGGCTAAACCAGTTACTAGAAGAATCACATTTCCTAGGAGTGCTCCAGCCTGGCCAGGACCCAGAGCAATGACTGGATCAGGAAAAAAGAGGTAAAGAAACCCCCACAATGACCAGTCCAGCCAAAAGGCACTCACCGAGAGGACCTCACTATGGGAAAACAGAACCACATTGAATGGAAGGTGCAAATTTCAAGCCGATGTAAAGAGATTCATGTCGGGTGCCCAAACACCTTGCAAAGTCACCAGAAGGAAGCTGCATTGGCAGTTCACTCGTGGAGATGGGTAGCAAGTAAAAAAAAAAAAAAAAAAAAAAAAAAAAAAAAAAAAAAAAAAAAACTTCCACTAGAACATTGGACAATCGCTGAACATGAAGAGCCAGGAGAACCAAACCCCGAGACTCCAGTAGACAACCTATCCACAGCATCCAGCTCCAAATGACAAGGCACTAAAGGGAACCCCCCCCCCCCTAGGTTCAGGCAATGAACCACTGAGGAAGAGTCTGAAAGAAGCACAGAAAAATCCAAATCCTCCAAAGGGTATGCCAGCTGGCCATAAACTCATGTACTACACTGAATGTCAGTACTACCCTACACTAGGCAGCCACAACATTTCTATCTCAGTCAGACTAACAAGTGTCAACAATAAAGAGTAGTGCACTGGGTAGTCATGAGCATCATTACCAAATACTAATCCAACCCAGTTGGGAGTACTGTACTGTATCTGTCTTAACACTTTCGCGCTATCCGGACGCATCGGCGCGTCCCGTTTCGTCTAACGCTAACGCATAGTGGACATAAAGTTGAGTCCTCTTTTAAAATATTTGTATAAAATTCAATTTTTATCCGATTTACTTTGGGTTTGTTTCAAACTGCGCGCTATGAGGCTCTCTTTCTCACCACTAGGCTGCATGGTACAATAAGTTCATGAAAGGTGTGGATAACTTCGATCAAATGGTATTTTGTCCCAAACGGGTTGCAGGTGGGTGACTTTAGCCGTTTATACTGGTAATGCTTCCCCCATATCATGTATTATATGCATATGTCTGTTTAGGGAATTTTATTCCGATCAATATACAACCAAAAATAACTGTGTGCAACAAGTATAAACTTGACAAACATAACAAAAGTAAAAACATTTCGTGTGTGTTTGACGCTCACTGATATGTTCCAGCGTTGTTTTATATTTGGCGCTATTCTAACTTACGCTTTGTTGATATTTTTTACCTATGGGCACATAGAACATTCTATTGCGAACACATTGACACAAAAATGAATGACGTACATAGAAAATTAATGTCATGAGAGTGAAATAAGTATAAACTTTCAAAGCGCCGTGCGTCGTCCCGTCACCGATACCGGGTAACAATTTCACCACTTCCCACACTCTTGCGGGCGGGCCGCATCATTATTCTACGCTTATATTCATATCACCGTGTTGGGAATTTCATTGCGAGTCCATTGATACCAAAATTAACGCTGTAGAACAAGTGTGGAGGTGATTACAATCCCAAGAGTAAAAACATTTTGTTGCTGATGGGCGCTCACGGCGAGTCATCTTCGTAGTTATTTATTTGGTGCTGGTATCCCTATACGTTTCGTGACTTTTTTTACTGATGTTCTTCTAGAGAATTTTATTGCGAACACGTTGGTACCAAAATGAAATACGTAGCATGAGAACTAAGGTCAGAAGAGTAAAAAGAGTATACACATTTTTGTTTTTACGCTTAAGCGATAAAAACGCAGCGCGCACATTCGGTTGGCTGAGTGACCTTTGCGGAGAGCGCGAAAGTGTTAATCCAATATATACTTAGGAGCCATATCAACCAATGCCTGAAATAAAGTAAGACGTAAACACATCAAAATGTTCAATCAAATCCACTAAATTAATTAGCTTGAGTGTCTTTGCCAAACACAAATGAGCTTTACAAAGAACATAGCCAAGGCTCAAGAATCTAACCACATGTCCATTAAAAGATAAATACATGTACCGTAACTCCTATCATTCTAGTAAATGTGACTGGCAGTATACAGTACCTGCAGCTGCCGACAATATTTACTCGAGGGCCACTATCTTCTAGTGGCTTCGATAAGGACAGCAAGATGGCAGCTTGTCAAAGGTCCCCCATTTATCCTGACGATTTCATCAAGCTGGATTTTGAAATTCAGTAGTGTTTTGACTTTGGCAAGTAGGTGGTTCCATGGGTTTATAACCCAATGGGTAAAAAGCATCAACTGTTTTCTCTCCTACATTGTGGATTGTTGTGCTTGAAACTGTTGCTCCTTGTTTGTGTTACATCTGACCCTTTAAAAAAGTTGTCTTGATCAATATCCTCCAAATTGTTCAGTATGAGCTTTAAAAGGAAAGTTTCCAGAAGCATAATCCTGCTGCCAAACTGGAATTTTCAACTTTTTTAAGACTGCTCATAGCCCAGTTGATGAGAGTGTCGGCCTCACACGCGTGGGGTCATGGTTTGGGACCCATACAGCCCAGGTGAATGAAAAGCCCTATCATGTCTGGTTTGGTACGGGCTCACCATAGCCCGTGCTACATGGGCACTTCGTTCTGAGTAGCTAAATCTAAAACAACAACTGATTTGCAGCAGTGTCAGGCCTGTAGCCCTCAACCATTCCTGGTACGAGAGTCAACTTAGTTTTGGAATGAATTTTGTTGCCCGGTGATAAACTTCTCCAAAGCAGATATCTCTTTCTGAAGATGAAGTCTCTATGTTTGGATACAATAATCCAAGTGGGGGTGCACCAGACATTTATACACATGAATAACTACCTTTTCCTTAAAATCAAAGGTTTGCTTGGACAGTTCATCTGCCAATAATTTTAAGGCTTTGGACTGAAATCTGCCCACACTTGGGCTTTTAAGCCTTAGTTTGTCAATACTCTTCCTGATTATGTCACATTATGGGAATATCCCTAATTCATTCTCTTTTCCTTCAAACATTTGTGTGGGCATTGTAATGACATCTAATCTTTCTAGTTTGAACACTTGATGTAAAGTATTCATTCTGTGTTGGCTGCCCTTTTATCATCTATTATAACTTGGCTTAGTCTCATCTTTTAAGGTCCTACCGAGACTTTTGTTTTGGTTTTACTTCTTATATAGGCATAGAAGGACTGGATTTTTATATTTTTGCAAGTTTTCTTTTGGCTGATCTGATTTCCCAGATGGCTGTATTTAAAGTCCTTCTATATTTCTCATATTCTATGCTGTTCTTCGTGGATTTGTACCTTCTCCATAGGCTCCTCTTAGTTATTAAAGCTTTTTTTTGTGTCATCCACCTGGTTACCTTCTCTTTTTCTCCTTCTTGGCACATATTTTTGAACAAGTTCAGTGATAACCTTTTACAATTTTCCCCCATGATGCTTCCATGCCATGATCACCCATTAGCGCTCTCTAGGAGGTGTTTTACACTTCCTCTCTCATTCCTTGATAGTCTCCCCAGGGCATTCAATTCCTCATTGTTGGTTGTATTCAAGTCTTCTTTTACATTTAGCATTACCCCACATGTTCTTGTTCTGTCCTTTCTGAAGGCTCGATGTATTCTGAAAGATGGCATTTCCCTTCAATTATGTCCTTTCATCCCCATGTTTCACCAAAGCCAGCAAAGTTGGGATTCTCAACCTCTATATATGCGCACAATGCATCAAATTTATTTACTAGCATTCTGGCATTTGTGCAGAAGTAATTTAAGCTCCTGACATTGTTCAGCAGGGTTGAGAGATTGCTTCTGCTTTCTGCACATTATTATTCTATACACCGTCACGTTGTATTTGTGCCTGCTTGTCTTCCCAGATATATAGGGTTAGTTCTGTCTGGCTACCGGAAGAGATAATGAATGCAAGCTAAAGGAAATAACATACTGCATAAACCATACTTAAGAAATTGCAGATTACACACTTTGTATAATCAGGTGTGTTCAGGAGTGACATTACACAGATTGGGCATGTGAAAGAAATTCATTTCATTTCGCCAACGAAATCAACGATTCACTTCACTAATTGATTTACTCGAGTGTAGTTACAGGATGAGAGCTAATGTCGTCTAGGTGTTCCCTGTAATCCTACCTTCTTGTGCATTCCCAGTTGTCTTCTGCCACTCCTACCTTAAGCTTTTTTTCCACTTATCCAACACCCTCACTTTATCTCCATATTTTCTTACATCTCGGGTTAATTTGCATTTTCAACTTTCATTTGTGTCCAATCATTCTGGTGTTGCTTACTTAGAAAAGACCATCTTGATCTTGAGTTATCTCGAGATGATTTCGGGGCTTTAGTGTCCCCGCGGCCCAGTCCTTGACCAGGCCTCCACCCCCAGGAAGCAGCCCGTGACAGCTGACTAACACCCAGGTAGCTATTTTACTGCTAGGTAACAGGGGCATAGGGTGAAAGAAACTCTGCCCATTGTTTCTCGCCGGCGTCTGGGATCGACCCCGGGACCACAGGATTACAAGTCCAGCGTGCTGTCCGCTTGGCCGACCAACTCTCTATTCTCTATTCAACTACTGTATTCCACTCTGTATCTTATATATTGTAATCATCATTTCTTGTTTATCTAGTGTTATTAGTTCTTCCAGCTTGTTCTCATAGTTTATTTAGCACAAGTTTTGTAGCATAACAATCTACTTCAATGTTGCATGTGTTTTACCAAGAGTGGAAGCTATGATGGGACTGCATGTTCTAGGTCTGCTCTAGGTTTTCAAGAGTGGAAGCTGATGGGACTGCATGTTCTAGGTCTGCTCTAACAATGTGTGTGTTTTACCAAGCGTGGAAGCTATGATGGGACTACATGTTCTAGGTCTGCTCTAACAATGTGTGTGTTTTACCAAGAGTGGAAGCTATGATGGGACTGCATGTTCTAGGTCTGCTCTAACAATGCTCTGACAAAGATGATTGGCATTGTACTGCCTAAAATTTGCACTGTCAGGACAGGAAGCCTGTTAAGTTAAAATAGGTGAATACATATAATAGGTGAAAGGATATGTGCCCAACAATTTCTGTACAGCCTGGGGGATGAAACCCAGGATCCTCCATTGTAAATCTAGGATGTAGACTTCCACTACCACCAAGCTAGAGGGTTGAGTCTGGCCTACCAACTTTTTTATATACAAAAAAAAGCACCATATGATACTACTGTAAACAGGTTAAAATGAAGACCTTGAAATGATATGCTTGATCGTAATAGACAATATTTCACATACAGTACTATATCATACATAAAAAAGCAATGTCACTGTAGCATCTCTTACATTTCCTTAATACTAAGAGTGTGTTAAAATTTGAACCAAGACAATATACAATACAGTGGACCCTCGGTTGACGAATGCCCCTCTTTACGAATTTTTTGGTATACACTACTGTACAAGGTAAATTTTCTCGTAAAATCTGACTCGGTATTCAAGGTTTGTCTCGGATTTCCAGTTTGTTGATACAGCATACATGTATGGGTCAACAAGCACGTGATTCTGCTGGGCGCGGCACGCCGAGTTTACCAGTGTATCCCACCTAGTGATGACCAAGCTTGAATTCTTTGCGAATAATTTCATTTTTTTTTTTTTTTTGGTTTCTGTACATAAAAGTTTTTATTGTATATCATGCCATGGATCCCAAGAAAGTCAGTGATAAAGTTCATCCTAAGAAAATAGTTGAGTAGAGGCAGTAGAGGATGACGCTTCCTCATTAACCCTCAAACCACGCCTATCATATATAAATGATATCAGTGACAAAACCGAAACCGCGCACATCATTTATATATGATTTCGTGTCTAGCGCTATAATTTAAACGCCCCGCCTGAGATAGGGGCAGCTATAGTACAGCCACGACCGATAGTTGCCAGATGCCACCTAGAAAAAAAATCCAGGCCAACATTCTTGGGTGTTACAGCGTCAGTATTGAGCTAGCCACCAAGGCTGGCGCACGCAGCACGAGCTCACAGCACCGCTGTTCAGCTTGTGACCACAGCATCGCCTACAACTACCATAATATAAATGATACTGCTATTATTTAGCAGTGATAGTATTACTGAAGCCCTCTGACTGTGATAACACTGACCAGGATTCTGATAATAGCAGGATTGTGGTGATATTTAGCGCTGTGCTCCATGGAGGGAGGAGTAAGGCTGTGGGAGGGAGGATGGTGGCGTCGTTTTCTGACTGTGTGTGGCCACCATTTATTGACTGCACTCACCATACCAGCTTAGTGGTTCGATATGGTGAACACAAATGTAGATACTTATATATAACGTGTGTATAGTGTGAGATAACAGCGAGAGGAGTAGGTTGGGAGCCGCCATTTTGGTGAGGGAGGAGCGTCGTCTGCACGACTTGGCATGTTGTTTACTGATGGCCACTATGGTCTTTGGGCACCATACCAGCTTATTTGTACAGGTATGGTGAATAAAACAGGTAGATACTTATATATAATATGTGTATATAGCGTAATAACACCACAAACAATATTGTTGGAGGGCAAATATTAGTGCGTCTGGCCTTGAGGGCGGCCGCCGATCAGCTGACTGTGTGAGTAGCTACGTCTTATGGCCTTACTCACCATACAAGCTTAGATGTACAGTTATGGTGAACAAAACATGTAAATACGTATATATAATGTTTGTGTATAGTGAATAAATACAGAAACAGTATTGTGGGAAGTGAATGAGGGTGAGTGAGGTGGTGTTGAGGGAGTGAGTGGCTCGCTGGTGTTTGGCGGTCACTCCTCGTTGCTTTTTGACTCACAAGACCAACTTAGTAGTTCGTTATGGTGAACAAAACATGCAGAAACTTATATATAACCTATGTATATAGTGTAACAACAGCAAAACTATTTGTTTATTGTTTTATGAACATAATAATTGAATCACTAATATGCACACCATAATTTTGAGCACAGCGATGGTTCACACATTTTATAATATAAATATACCACAATTCACTGTATGGAATAATATTACTGCAAAAAAACTAAGAAAAAATCAGAGACATTGAAATAATTAGGTAATAATATATTTGTGGCAACTGCCGTCTGACAGCTCGGGCGGACTAGACCTCGCCTGGCAAAGGCTCTGCTAACGCCCCTTTTTTGCCACACTTCCCTACCCTATTGCGGCTAAAATATGCCACCTAATATTTTTTTGTTATTTTTTACGTGATCAGGGAACAAAAATGAACACTTCTATAAGACGAAAGAATTTTTTGGATTTTTTTTTTTTTTTGTTGCGCCTGTGGGTGTGAATTCCATTTGGGCCCCTAGCGGTTTGAGGGTTAAGAAAATGTGTGCAGTATGGGAAGAACTGCAAAGTTTTGTTGAAAAAACTCGCTCAGATAAAGCTGTAGCAGGCCATTGCATTAACCTTTTTAATGACAATGTGATGTCTCACTACAGACAAGTGTTAAAACATCGGGAAAAACAAGTGTCTTTAGACAGATTCTTAATGAGAAAAGCAAGTAGTGAGCCACAACCAGGTCCTAGTGGTATGCAGGCAAAATGTAGAAGAGAGAGTACATCAGAAATGTCATCACTGCCTGATCTTATAATGGAAGGGGACTCCCCTTCCAAATACTAACACCTCTCCTCCTCTTCCCCTCCTCACCATCTTCCATACGCCAACAAGAGTCCTCAATAAAGGTAAGGTACCTGTATAGTAAAAAGTATGAGTAGTATTCTGTATAAAATGTTTTTTTAAGTTAATATTTTTGGGTATGTAGAATGGATTAATTCAATTTGTGTTATTTCTTATGGGAAAATTCGTTTCGGTTTTCAAATCTTCGGTGTACAAACAGTCTCTTGGAACGAACAAATTTGTAAACCAAAGGTCTACTGTATATAAATTATAAACATACCTGTTTTGCAGAGGGTGACATGCCAGACTGGACAACAATGATTGCACGTTGAATGTTCTCCTCTTGCATCCTCGTACAATATGTTTTTATTGTTCTTACACCAACCTGCAAGCAGATATCACTGTAAAACCTCCAGAATTATGCTAGTGAAGAACATTAAAACAAAAATAAATTACCATTGATAAATATGTAAATCTTATTACAGTACTTGATAAAAACTATCAAACCACCATTAAACATATTTTTATTCATAGATGATATAATTCAGGAGATGTTTGAAGGTACTTTATTTTTGTTAGAGTACTCATTAAGTACTAAATACTGTAGAAATATTCCGATCTTCCAAAAATTATGGTTAACCCCAAAAAACCAGCGTTGAATGAAATGAGACGCCAGTTTCCGAGTTATCCCCGGATGCTCCCTGAAACTATCCCACTGCTACCCTATTTGGGGTCATCAGTCACAGAGTTCTTGTCACCTACTGGGAACCACAACCAAAACCTGGCCCCCTCAGAGATGCAGAGAGCAGTGGCCTATGAACACTTTACATTTATAGTATGTCATACTTGCTATCGACCAGGGAAGGCAACCAGAAAGGTAGTTGAAACAAAACAGACCGCTGCCTGGTGGAAAATTGTTACTTATGTCCTCAAAAGTGCAAAAGAACTCCCCCAGAACAAAAACAAGCAACACTTCGTCCAAGTAGCCTCAGCTCGTTAGCACCAACCCTACCATTTCCCATTAAAGGGGAAGGGAGAGCTGGTCCAGGTGAGCTGGGCTACCCACCCTCCAGTTCTTGAATTATGAAAGCCACTGACCGGAGGAAGGAAGGGAGGTCAGGGAGCCTCCGGGGCTCACCCATATATGTGGCATTTCATTACATCCAACACTGGTTTTCTGTGGGAAGGCCCCCCATCAGCTCCCTGAAGCTAACTACCCAAAGAGAAGGAAAAACCGGGACATATTCGGGAGACAGCAGAACTGCAGATCTCGAGTCGAGGAAGAGACAGACGGTTGCGACAGGCGCCCCAAAGCCACACAAGACGGTAGAAGGGCCTGGGATGTCCATAAGATACCTGGCGACCTGCTTGATGGGGTTCTGGGTGTTCTTCTACTCCCCAAGCCCGGCTTGAGGCCAGGTTTGAACAGGACCCTGTGGGACCTCCAAAATCCCTGTGCCTGAATATCGTCCCAAGACATATTCCTAAAGACAGCAGAAAGAACGGCATACTTTCTCACATCATGGGTACAATGGTAGACTGCAGGCTGGCTAAACTTAATGACACTGTGGACAACTTGAGATACACGACCCTTGTGATCAGGGAAACAGAATCAACCCAGAGCGCATCCACTGACACAGAACCAGTGGCACAAAAGCAGCTACCGGACACAGAACGTGATACACTCTCGGCCAAACCAACCAAGAATCCACAACCAACAGACCCCTCTGGAAGCCCACCGTGTCATTTTCCCCCAGAAAAGAAGGGCCGGCTGCAAACTAACAAAACGACCACCAGAACCAAACGAACAAATCCCCCAGCACCGGAGAAGAGCACGAAACTCCCCATCCCAACCCCTAGAGGCCAAAGCCAGCCAAAACAAAGTTTTCAAAAGCAATCATGAACCGAAGGGGCCACTACAAACCAAGGTGAAGAAAGAAAGAAAGGAAATGAACCTAGTCCAATGACCAAGAAGGCCCAGGCATCACATGAGCAGGCCGAGCAAAAATATGCACGAGAAAGCTTGCGGAACGGAACGGAAGTGAAATCCTCCCCAAACGCAAGCTGCAGTGGTTCCACCAACGCTGCACGATAAGAAGCAACAGTATTCGGCATGAGATGCCGATCCAGAAAAAGCAAAGATAGAAAGGACAAATCAACCACGTTCAACAGTGACAAAACCCGCCAAAGAGAAAGAAAATGGTGGACAGGCATATACTATTTCATTATGGAATCTGTAGTTCTAGCAACAGTACATTAGTACAGTAGTACTGTAGTTTTATAACATTAATAGCAAAGAAAATATGGAGGTGTAACTTAGTAAAGCTACTAGAACATAACAGAACATAACTAGAACATAATGGGACAAATACTTACAAATAAACTAAATAACATAGGATATAATAAGTAGTTTTACAAATACAATAATAAGGTGACAATGAAGAAAAGACATTTTTAGTAAATAAAATTTAAGACAACAATAACTCACAAAAATATCTCAACTAATTTCACTCACTTACTCTCATTATATGATATAAAGTAAATATTTTCTAGTCTTTTTTTTTTTAGCTAGTTGGAGACGAAGCATTTAATTACATTTGGGAGATTGTTGCACAATTTGGGACCCTTGATTTGCGTAGCATTTCTGCTTTGACCGAGTCTCACTCCAGAAATATCAGATATTTTTTTTATATACAAGTATATACAAGAGTTTTTACATTCTTGTACAGCCACTAGCACTCGTAGCATTTTGGGCAAGTGGCTGTTTCTCGTTTAGCTTAAGAGTTCTGTTACAGCCCTCTACGATGCACTCAAGATCAAGATTGGCATTACAGCTCAGAGTTTATAGATACAGTATATTGTATGCCTGAGAGTATGTGCAGTGACTTGATATATAACATTTTCAAATTTTTGAGTAGGGGAGCAGAGTACTGTCCCTTAATTACTCAACAAAAATAAGCAATTAGAACAATAACAAACTCCAGTGTCTATTCAATTTCTTTCTTGTTATGCATCCCATACCCATCCTGTGGGCGATGGTGGAAAGGGTTACAGAGGCACATAATCTGTTCAGGAACTGAACCCTAGAGTTTGTTTAGCTAAGCAAATAATCTTTTGATGCTAGTTACACAATTATTAATGTTATATATACATGTCCCTATACTTTATATATATGAACTGTACAAACATACACTCATTTACACAAATTCATACACACATCAATAATCTTTTGTATCACAAGTGATTCAACAAGAGGCTCACAACAGTCACTATACAAGGCACTTTACATCTATGGTGAGTCACACAGTTACTAGTTTTGCTCCACACCCACCCAACTGGGCGGCAGCTTTACAGTCATGTGCTCCACACCCACCCAACTGGGCGGCAGCTTTACAGTCATGTGCTCCACACCCACCCAACTGGGCGGCAGCTTTACAGTCATGTGCTCCACACCCACCCAACTGGGCGGCAGCTTTACAGTCATGTGCTCCACACCCACCCAACTGGGCGGCAGCTTTACAGTCATGTGCTCCACACCCACCCAACTGGGCGGCAGCTTTATAGTTATGTGCTCCACACCCACCCAACTGGGCAGCAGCTTTACAGTCATGTGCTCCACACCCACCCAACTGGGCAGCAGCTTTACAGTCATGTGCTCCACACCCACCCAACTGGGCGGCAGCTTTATAGTTATGTGCTCCACACCCACCCAACTGGGCGGCAGCTTTATAGTTATGTGCAGGCTGACCTACAGGCAGCAAATTTTGGATACTTCACTAAGATTCCTGACAGTACATCATTATGAATGAAGTACTTACACATTTCTTGGACTCCATTGATGGTGTTATCTCTAATTTCAGGGATTTTTTCATATACCATTGTATAATGGCACAAATTATGTGAATAGTTCTGCTGATAGAGTTTACATTTAGTCAAATCTACATCAGCAGATGTTACAAACTGCCAGAGGTGCTTGTAGTCGAGCCTAAGCCTAGCAGTGGTAACATCTAGAAGTCTGCTAACATTATTGGAGTGTCTGGGACTGGAGTTTGTTATTGTTCTGATTGCTTATTTTTGTTGAGTAAGGGTCGAAGGTAATTAAGAGTGGTTGATCCCCAGGCACAGATACCATAGGTTAAATATGGGTAAATGAGCAAACAATACGGAGTTATTAAGTAAAGTAATAATCAGGAAAAGCACTAAGCCAATATGACTATACAGTATAGCACTCTGACAGAGTTATTAAGAACTCTGGCAGAGTTATTAAGAGTTATTAAGGCAGGGGCAAAGTACGTTGTATCTTTTTACGAGAATGCCTACTTTTTAGAAACTTTTTTAATTATACATTATATTGTATATGGCAATGGAAATTATGTTTGTTGGCTATGTAAACACCAAAGAACTTCCAATTTACTCTGCTCATAATTTTGATATTGCTAATTCTTAGGTTAATCTGATAGTTGGACTTGTCACTAAACAATATGTAAAATGTTTTATTGATGTTAAGAGTAAGTTTTTACAGCAGTCAACCACAAACACACTTTAGTATTCACTGTCATTTAAGGGTTAATCATGAAGATAATGGATTAAATTATGTCACAAAAGATTTTACAGTTCTATTTACCACTAGCTAAAATAGCTGCCCATGTACCTTTGGCTCATCTGGGAAGAACACGAACATCTGATCCGTTGGGTCGTCATTGTGAGCAACCAACACAATAAGGTCCGACCTGGCTGGGTGTCTCTCTGAGGGCTTGTCTCCGAATTGTTCTTTAAACTGTTCAAGGGTTTGGTCCAACTCGTCTTGTGTCACAAGGTAGCCACGATCGTGACAGAGCTGCATGATGGTCTTCCGAATGCGCCATAACTTGTACGTTTCCGCTTCGTCCTCCATATTTGTCAGTACTTATACCTAAAAGAAATAAAAATGTAGATATAAAAGAAAATTATCAGGGGGAATCGATAAGCTAGTATGACTATAGTACACTGATTATACAAGTTGGTCAACAAACAGTATTTGAAAATAGCAAGACATGGGTTGATATTTGGGGGGTAAGGTAGGTTACATGGAGTTTATTAGGTAGTACTTAGTTTTTCTCTTGAACTGGTTGAGAGAGATACAGAACCTCAGAAAATAGTTGTGAGTAGAGGCAGTAGAGGATGTCCCTTCCTCATTAAGAAAATGAGTGAAGTATGGGAAGAGCTGCAAAGTTTTGTTGAAAAAACTCACCCAGATAAATCTGTAGCAGGCCGTTGCATTGACCTTTTAAACGACAATGTGATGTCTTACTACAGACAAGTGTTAAAATGTAGGGAAAAACAAATGTCTTTAGACAGTTCTTAGTAAGACAAGCAAGCAGTGAGCCACAAGCAGATCCTAGTGGTATGCAGGCAAAACGTGCCAGAGAGTGCACCCCAGAGAAGTCATCACTGCCTGATGTTATAATGGAAGGGGACTCTCCTTCCAAACAGTAACACCTCTCCTCCTCCCCCCTCCTTATTATCTTCCATACGCCAACAGCAGTCATCAGCAAGGGTAAGTAATAACTTGAACATACTTTATCACTTGGTATCATACTTGATACCTGATCAACCAGGCTGTGATTTGTACGTCAGGCTATGAGCAGCCGCGTCCAACAGCCTGGTTGATCAGTCCAGCAAACAGGAGGCCTGGTCGATGACCGCGCCGCAGGGACGCTAAGCCCCGGCAGCCCCTCAAAGTAATCTCAAGATAAGGCACTTTTGTAGTGTAGATTTCGATGAACTAGGTATAAAATTTAGTTTGAAGTGAGGCTTTTGGGTAGTCGGGAACGGATTAATTTATTTTCCATTATTTCTTATGGGGAAATTAGCTTCAGTTTACGAGTTTTTGGATTACGAGCTGTCTCCAGGAACGGATTAAACTCTTAAACCGAGGTACCCCTGTAATATATATATATTGATGAAGGTGTGATTGTGTATTGTTTATCCCCCCCCCCTTTATTCTTTCCACTACTACTTGCCACAGCCAGTTTCTTGAGGACTTACCACCAACTTGGGGGTTGGATATAGAAGACAAGGTTATAACAGCAAGAACCCGGTTACCAGCCCAAAGTGGCTGTAACATGCTGACTGACCCATCACGTCAAACGTAGCCTAATCCATTGTAACAGTTTTACCAGTCTCCGTGGTGTAGTGGTAAGACATTCGCCTGGCGTTCCGCGAGCGCTTTGTCATGGGTTCGTATCCTGGCCGGGGAGGATTTACTGGGTGCAAATCCTTAACTGTAGCCTCTGTTTAACTCAACAGTAAAATGTGTACTTGGTTATTAAACGATTCTTCGAGGGGGTCGTATTCCAGGGACCATAGGATTAAAGACTTGCCCGAAACGCTACGCGTACTAGTGGCTGTACAAGAATATAACAACTCTTGTATATATCACAAAAAAAAAAGAAGTTGTTACCTAGCCCATAACATCCATCATAACTTAACCCATCACAACAATCATGGGCTAACTCATCACATCCACAAAAGGTCCATCTACACAAAGTAACAAAGGTGTACCGTAGTTGAATTATAAATTTGCACTTCAACAAAGTAAATTTCCTCAGTTGTCAAAAGAGTATAATGTATATTGTTGTGTGTTGGGTTTTGGGTCGAGTTGGGTTAGGCAAGTTTTATAACCCGTTAGAACCTTGTTGGTACGAGATAACTTGGTGTAAATGTTGGTGTGGCCCAGTGTGGGGCCCAGGGTGGTGTGGCCTGGTGTGTGGGCCAGTGTGGGGCCCAGGCTGGTGTGGCCCAGGCTGGTGTGGCCCGGTGTGTGGCCCAGGCTGGTGTGGCCCGGTGTGTGGCCCAGTGTGGGGCCCAGGCTGGTGTGGCCCGGTGTGGGGACCAGGCTGGTGTGGCCCGGTGTGGGGACCAGTGTGGGGCCCAGGCTGGTGTGGCCCGGTGTGTGGCCCAGGCTGGTGTGGCCCGGTGTGGGGACCAGTGTGGGGCCCAGGCTGGTGTGGCCCGGTGTGTGGCCCAGGCTGGTGTGGCCCGGTGTGGGGACCAGTGTGGGGCCCAGGCTGGTGTGGCCCGGTGTGGGGACCAGTGTGGGGCCCAGGCTGGTGTGGCCCGGTGTGTGGGCCAGTGTGGGGCCCAGGCTGGTGTGGCCCAGTGTGGGGCCCAGTGTGGGGCCCAGGCTGGTGTGGCCCGGTGTGGGGCCCAGGCTGGTGGGGCCCAGTGTGGGGCCCAGGCTACACCATGGCTGCCCCAACAATCATGACATACCGTACTCACCTAAATAGTGTGGCTGCTGGGGTAGACTTGGGGTGTGAGGGTGGCAGCTCTCACCCGTCACTGGTGTGTGTGTGTGTGAGCCTCTACACTCACTACACTGGACAATACACCCACCTCAGCCTCTACACTGGACAATACACCCACCTCAGCCTCTACACTGGACAATACACCCACCTCAGCCTCTACACTGGACAATACACCCACCTCGGCCTCTACACTGGACAATACACCCACCTCGGCCTCTACACTGGACAATACACCCACCTCGGCCTCTACACTGGACAATACACCCACCTCAGCCTCTACACTGGACAATACACCCACCTCAGCCTCTACACTGGACAATACACCCACCTCAGCCTCTACACTGGACAATACACCCACCTCAGCCTCTACACTGGACAATACACCCACCTCAGCCTCTACACTGGACAATACACCCACCTCAGCCTCTACACTGGACAATACACCCACCTCAGCCTCTACACTGGACAATACACCCACCTCAGCCTCTACACTGGACAATACACCCACCTCAGCCTCTACACTGGACAATACACCCACCTCAGCCTCTACACTGGACAATACACCCACCTCGGCCTCTACACTGGACAATACACCCACCTCGGCCTCTACACTGGACAATACACCCACCTCGGCCTCTACACTGGACAATACACCCACCTCGGCCTCTACACTGGACAATACACCCACCTCGGCCTCTACACTGGACAATACACCCACCTCGGCCTCTACACTGGACAATACACCCACCTCGGCCTCTACACTGGACAATACACCCACCTCGGCCTCTACACTGGACAATACACCCACCTCGGCCTCTACACTGGACAATACACCCACCTCGGCCTCTACACTGGACAATACACCCACCTCGGCCTCTACACTGGACAATACACCCACCTCAGCCTCTACACTGGACAATACACCCACGTGAGGCGGGTGTTACTCTTGAACAGGGCTCTGGTCGATTCGTACATCCTCTTTTCGACTACCGTCCGTTCGGTACATAAACAGTTCGTTCACAATTTCGTCTACACGAAGCCTTTCGTACATACGTGTTCGCTGCCTCGTCTTCCAAGATAATAAAATGAACAAAAACGAGGCAATAGAAGGTGATACTAAGTTAAGCATATGAATAAATATATGGTACATGATCATATAATTAGCTCATGTCTTCAAATAATATGCGAGTGGGCGGGGGGGGGGGGTGAAATAGCCTAATTAAACTACTTTATCCCTTTGAGATGTAGTTTTTCTTATTCATTTATTTATTTATTTATATATATATACAAGAAGGTACATTGGGTTTGTGAGAATACATAGCATAGTACAGTATTTACAATCTTGTAAAGCCACTAGTACGCGCAGCGTTTCGGGCATTTATTTATTTATTTATTTATATACAAGAAGGTACATTGGGTTTGTGAGAATACATAGCATAGTACAGTAATTGCACTCTTGTATAGCCACTAGTACGCGCAGCGTTTCGGGCGGGCAGGTCTTGTCTCAATAAACTTGAGATTAAACTCAATACTTGAACTTGTTGATATCATATCAACATATTTACATTAAAATCTGTGTGTAATTCCGGTTTTGGCCTCCACCACCACCTCACTTGTTCCATCCAGTGATCTACCACTCTGTTGTTTAAGATTCAGCTACTGGGAACAAAAAGTTCCAAGTAGCACGGGCTATGGCGAGCCCGTATTAGACTTACCTGGCACAAGAGCGGGGCTGTAACTCTACCACTCTGTTTATTCGCCAGCTTTATTTCCTTAGTTTCCTAACTGTTTTCTTTAGCTTGTATGTTGTAATAAACTATTCCAACATTTACAGTTGTTCTTCTTCCTTGTGAAGATTTAAACAAATTGGTAAACTTGTATTAAGCTTAGGTATACACAGCAATGTTCAAGTTCAAGTATGTTTATTGAGACAAGGAAAAAATACATCTCAAAGGGATAGAGTAACTTAGGCTATTTCTACCCCCATCTATTTCAAGTCCCTCAAGGGGCGCACAAATAATAATAATAATAATAATAATAATAATAATAATAATTTTTATTTAGGCAAAGGTACATACATAAAGAGATTTTACAAAGTTTGTTGGCTTTATAGATAAGAGCTAGTACATACAAAGCCTAAAGCCACTATTACGCAAAGCGTTTCGGGCAGGAAAAAACACTACTGACTAAAGCTTAAAACTAATGGGTAAAAAGAAAAAAATGCGTTGAGTACAAATAAAAATAGAGGTAAAAGAGGGGGGAACTTTGTTGAAAAAACAGCACAAATACAATTACAAATTATTACAGAAAATTACATTAAAACAGCGTTGATTTGTAAAACAAAAAAAAAAAAAAAAAAAACATACATGGGTTGACAATAGAGAGGTAAGGTAGGTTACAGGGAATTTATTAGGTATAGCTTCGTTTTTAACTTAAACTGGTTGAGAGAGGTACTGTCTTTAACATGGTTGGGAAGGTCATTCCACATCCTGGGCCCCTTGATTTGTAGAGCATTTCTGGTTTGATTAAGTCGTACTCTAGGAATATCAAAACTGTATTTATTTCTGGTGTGGTGCTCATGGGTTCTGTTACAACCTTCTATGAAGCTTTTGAGATCAGGATTGGCATTACAATTTAGCGTTTTGTATATGTATAGTACGCATGAGAGAATGTGCAGTGACTTAATGTCTAACATATTCAGGGATTTGAATAGGGGTACCGAGTGATGTCTGGGGCCAGAATTGGATATTGTCCTAATAGCAGCTTTGTGTTGAGTAATTAGAGGACGTAAGTGATTTTGGGTAGTAGAGCCCCAAGCACAAATACCATAGTTGAGATATGGATAGATAAGGGAGTAATAGAGAGTCACCAGGGCAGGGCGTGGTACATAATATCTGATCTTAGAAAGAATGCCCACAGTTTTTGAAACTTTTTTTGATATGTTTAGAATGTGTCCCTGGAAATTCAGCTTGTGGTCAATGAGAATGCCAAGGAATTTGCCATCTAATTTGTTACAAATTTGGGTATTGTTTATTTTGAGATTTATTTGATTAGAGGATTTATTGCCAAACAGAATATAGAAAGTTTTGTCAATGTTGAGGGTGAGTTTGTTGGCAGTTAGCCACAGATGGACTTTATTTAGCTCAGTATTTACTGTGGCATTTAGAGCAAGGGGATCAGGACTGGAGTAAATGAAGGTTGTGTCGTCAGCAAATAGGATTGGTTTGAGGTGTTGGGAGGCATTTGGAAGGTCATTAATGTAGATGAGAAAGAGGAGAGGGCCAAGTATGCTGCCCTGGGGAACACCAATGTTGATGGGTAGGGTGGGAGAAATTGTATTATTCACAGAAACACATTGGAGCCTGTCAGTAAGGTAGGATTTGAGGTATTGTAGGGAGTGTCCTCTGACACCATAATGATGTAATTTAAGAAGAAGGTTTTGGTGGTTGACAGTATCGAAAGCTTTACGCAGGTCCACAAATAACCCAACAGGGAACTCATTTTTATCAAGAGCTGTATGAATCGAGTTAAGCATACTAATAAGTGCATCGTTAGTGCTTTTTTTGGGCCTGAAGCCATATTGGCAAGGGCTAAGTATATTGAGTTTGGCTAGATATGAGTAAAGCTGCTTATAGATTAGTGTTTCAAAAATTTTTGACAAGTTTGGCAGGATTGATATAGGTCTGTAGTTGTTAACATCTGTGAGATCACCACATTTGTGGACAGGCGTTACTCTCGCTTTTTTAGAATATCTGGAAAGGTTTGGAGTTCAAGTGACTTGTTGAAGAGCAAAGCAATAGCAGGGGCTAAAGATCTGGAGGCTTTTTTGTAGATTAAAGTTGGTATCTCCTCAAGGGCACCAGACTTGGTTTTAAGGGAAAGGATTATCTCATTGACGTCAATGGAATTAATAGGCTTTAGGTACAGAGACTGGGGATAGTTCCCTGTAAGATAGTCCTTAATGTCAGTACTGGAAGATGGAATATCATTAGCAAGGGATGAACCAATGGAAGAGAAGAACCTATTGAACTCAATAGCAGAATCAGAGGCTGAAAGCTGACCATCGTTATTAGACAGGAGAGTCGGTTTGTTATTTAAAGACTTCTTTGATCCCAATATTTGTGAAATTGTTCTCCATGTTTGTTTAATGTTGCTCTTTATTTGGGTAAATTTATCTTCGTAGTATTTAGTTTTGGTTCGTCTAATTATCTTAGATAGCAATAATGAGTAATTCTTTGAGAATTCTTTGGAGACAATCCCTAACCTATACTTTTTCTCAAGGTCATGTTTTTTTCAGTGAAAATTCAGTGAATACAAATCCACAAATCACAATACAAGAATCCCATTTAACATTGCAGGTTAATATAGTAAGTACAGCATATAAATGTTACACTCTTGGGGCAAAATTCTTGTAGCTCCTAAGTATTCTGTCTATCATACCATTATCACACATCCAAACAATTTGATGTGATACACTACTTATTTCCTTATTTCTATAGTTATTAATAAGTTGACACTCTAATGTTCTAAGGTGTGGGCGTGCGGCATACTACATAATTTGTATCTTTTTCACTGAGATCAACACCGTATTGCTAGATATATTTGTATCCTAATCTTAATCTCATATAAATTGAATCCTTCTAAGCAGACTTTCCTCTACCATACTACCATAAGTAAAGGACGAATTTGTATTTATTACTGAATAGTTCTTAAGTGTCTTACTGCTGTCCATCATTGCCATTCTCTTAACCTTTCCATCCTCCTCTTGTATCCTTACCTGGAGGTTACCTTGAGGTGCTTCCGGGGCTTAGCGTCCCCGCGGCCCGGTCGTCGACCAGGCCTCCTGGTTGCTGGAGTGATCAACCAGGCTGTTGGACGCCATATCTTGATTCTTGTTTTTATTTGTTTCAAAGTTATCTGACAAACAACATCAACAAGAGTTTTTTTCCGTGGCTCTCTTCGCTATGTCATCAACTACCTCATTCAACAGTATTCCCACATGTGAAGGAATCTGATTGATTGATAAAGATTAAGCCACCCAAGAGGTGGCACGGGCATGAATAGCCCGTAAAGAAGGGATCTCACATGAAGCTTACTTTATACCCAGTTTTTTCTAATTTCTTCATCGGAAAGGTTGATGATATTCTTGAGAGATATAAGAATTTTGCACCAAAACTGTAATTTTTTGTCGAATTATCTGCATGTCTCTTGCAAATTGTGTATACAGTATGCCTAGGTCATAAAAGTATTTGTGTACGTCTGATACCATACTACTTGTGTAAAGGAAGAAATGTATATGTTTATCTCTCAGAATGTTTGGTAATATGTTTATTGTTTGTGATGTGTGTATATGTATGTATTAACACGATGTACTGAACGGGGTGAGAATAGCTTGAGCTACCTCATCCCTTTGTGTGTATTTTACCTCAATAAACTTATTTCAATTTCAATTTCTAATTTCTTAACATTCTCTCTACACTCTGTCACAATATTCTGGTATACTGGGCGTCTGCTATTTAAAGACTAACGCTCCTTTACTGTCAATAAAGAAGCAAGCATTTTGACCACATTTGACTACTTCCTGTAATCCTGCTAATACACCTTGCAGTTCAGCCTGCGTTGAAGAGACATTGTCAGTTAAGCGGCGGCCAGTAACAGTATCTACAGTGCCGATGACAGTGTACTCCCTGATCAAGACTCCACATGAACAAATTCTGTAGTGTAGTGTAAAGACTCCACATTCTGCCTTTCCAGTCCTAGCTACTGACCCATCACAATATACATGTAGTGTGTTCTCTGTAGGTAATTTTCTAATTGTACAATCATATGTTGCCTTCAGCTCTCCTATCTCATACATACTTTTTTCTTTGTAAGGGAAATAACCGCTGCATTATGTAGGAATGCGGAGGAATTTCTGATGGAGGAGAAGACAGTTGCACAGCGCGATCCGCAGCGCAGCGCGCGGAGCGCCGCAGGGGGCCTATATATAGCAGAGAGGAGGGGTCATGCGTTCTTTCTTGTTCCAGCCTCGCTCCGCT